AAATTAACCTTTATTAACTATTTAATTAGAATTAATAATTTAAAAAAATTATTTATTTATTTACATTTCTTAATATATATATCTCTATAACAAATATTACTAGATGAATATTAATATTAAAAAATTATTTAATGTAATTTACAATAATAAATTGTAGAATCATTTGCTTTGCAGAATAATCAACCAAAGTTTTTGTTTTTGCACAATCTATCCCGGATAACTTGACGAAATCTGCGGCTCTCGATTAAAGCCAAGGAGCGAAAGTCTCGCAAGTCGCAACAAAATCATTTTGCTATAATTGAGGAATTGATGGATGAGGAAGCCGAATGGATCGGAGCAAATAAAGAAAAAAGCAGTGGCTGAGACGGGAAACAAAGCAATTTCAAATGATGGTACAGCTGAGATGGACGTCAACCCTTCTCCAATAGTTGAAGCCCAAGTATGTAGCCCGACCCAACCAGAGGTTAATAGGTCAGTTGCTCTCCCTCCCATTCCACCACCGGCCCCAGATATCTCTTTTGTTATGCCCAAACCAAAGCCTTCCAAGAAGAAGGCTAAATCCCTAGGCCCAGTCTCACGGGAGACAAAAAATGCTGCACAGAGACCTTAGGATCCGCCACCAGTGTCCAAGAAGAAAATGGACTCTCCATTGCCCATGCCACCGGAAAAAGTGCTCCTAGTCTATTCAGCAAAGTAACATATTACATTATAGAACATTTAGTCTTATAATCTTTATTTATAAATTAATTATAAAAATAAATTATGCAATTTAATATATAAATTTCTTAAAATATACTAAATAAAACTCTTCTTGTATTATTTTATTAATGTCATTTTAATAATTTTATTGCACAAACTACACTTGAATAGTAGTGTTAAATTCAAATATCATGTAACTCTAAAAAATAATATAATATTTAGACAAAATTAAAAATGTACTTATTTTATTATAATATTATTATTAAGGCACAAATATTATCTAGTTTTAAGGAGTATTTTACTTGAAATACCAAATGAATTTAACTTTATTCTCAAAATTTTCAAGTAAGCAATGTATTTACACACAAGCCTCTTACATTGCCAACCCCTTTCCAAATAATATTTACAATAGAAAATAAAGTAAGCAATCACACAGCCCCTTTTGACATTGTTTCTTGATGCCAGTCCGAAAATGAAAGTTTATAAGCTAAAAAAAAAAGATTTTATACCAATGGCATTGGACTTAATTCAATAATTGATCTATTAATTATTAGTCTAATTTTATTTTAGTCTATAAAGTTAGTTTTTTTCTAAATAATTTATAAACTTTATAAAATATTTTAGAATAGTATAGTGTATAGAAATTCTATTAGTTTTAACAAAATTAGTTTTATCTTAAAATTAAGATAAAATTGAAACAACATATAATAAAGGTTATAGTTTTTCAAATAGTAAAAAATAACTTATTACCCTCACAAAATTAGTTTTATCTTAAAATTAATTGTAACAAATAAAATTTATAAAAAAAATATAGTTAAAAGTCATTTTGATCAAATATAATGACATTATTAGTAGAAAACTAATAAATTAGGTTAAACTAAATTAAATGTGAAATATAGATAAATAAATATAAAAATAGTTAAAAATAATAAATGAAACAAAAAAAAATACTAATCTATTTATTAAATTAAACCAATGACATTGCACAAAAGTTGGAGGATGCAAAGTGAGGGTTTAAAGGCTTCTTTAAGATATATATAAAACCCAGGTCAACTGTCTTTCTCGTCTCCTTTCTCCATAAAGTGAGCCTGGCTCCGCCGTCGTCATTCGAGGTGATTGGCGTCTATATTCTCTCTTCCCCTGCAACTTAGCTGTCAAGGGGTCTTACTCTTTCTTCTCCATCTTGGGCTAAGTCAATTTGTAAGCAGTTTTCTTTTAACCAGCTTGAATCAATCAAGAGCAAGAGAGTTGACACTTTACAAATCTTTCATTTCATTTCATGTTGGAATTAAATTACATAGTATCTCATATCTTAATTAGTTTTATTTTAATTGTTATTTTTTTTTTTTAATTAAAGTTTCTTCTTTTTTGATTATTCAAATAAATTTAGATTAATTATTATGGTACTTAGTTAATCATAATTCTCGTAGGTTCAATACTCTACTTATCATTATATTACTTAGAACTACTAGTACACTTGTTAAAGTGATTTTAATACATCAACACACACCACAATTGAAACTTGTATAAGACCTCTACTTTGCCTCTTCTTTTCTAAAGTCAAGTACGTAAATATATACTCATAAATTACTTAATATCTGTTCATTTAGTTATTAAGTATAAGTTTTTAAATATTTAGATAAGTACCAAACTTAAAATTTATACTTAAAATTTTTAAATCAAATAACAAATATATTTCATGCTGGACTTATATTTGAAAACGCTCACCCATCCCTGCAAGGAGAGAGTGCTTCATTTTATGTTGGATTTTAATACTTCTATGTGTTTTTTGTTTTTTCCTTTTGATTGGCAAAGAGTAATATTACTAATAAAACTAAAGAGTGAAGCACAATGAATGCCACCACCAATCTCAAAATCTAAAGTATTTCAGTGCTGGAAAACTCAAAGCCAATTCAATGACAACCTAATTAACATAAGAACCTTGTCCCCCATTAACCCACAATTTCCAGTCAACAACCTTCTGCTTCCACAAGTTTTTCTAAGAGTCTGAAGTGTTGTGAAAAGTTCTAGGCGATGGTGAGACGTTGAGCCACTGCCTAGTGCCTAGGCGCACCCTAGCATTTTCCTTTTTTTTTTTTATTTCTTTTAAAATTCAAAAAATGTCAAAAAATTAAAAATAAATACCAAAAAAACTAAAAAGGAAGAAAAATAAGTTTAAAAGCAAGTATTACCATAAACTCACCTATAGAATTGACAAATTATGATTTTTTTTTTCTTTTTGCTCCATCACCTTGCCTAGGCACTAGGCGGTGGAGCTAAGCAAGCTATTTATTCTATTTTTTAGAATAGATTGGCCAAAACGCTAAACAAGTCATTAAAATTAAGGAGGAAAAATATAGAAATCAACACCTCAAAATAATTAATGCATAAACAAATAAAACCAATAGCCAGATAAAAGAGTTAAACAGCAAAACCTGAGAAACATGAGAGTCTGCAAATTACCGTTCAGAGGTACTTGGGGTGTCATCATCAGTAGCATCTTCACCCGTGGTTTGCCTTGCATTTGCAAGGTTCATTTCTGCAGAAATTTGACATGAAAAATAGATTAAATGGTTAACAAAATGTCAATGCTCTTGGAATCAAACCAAATCAAAAGCAGATGAACAAAACTTTTACCAGTCTGGATTTCAGTATCAGGCCCCTCAAATATTTGATTGTGAAAGTGAGGAGGACTGACACTCTCATAATGCCCATACTTGCTCTCATCTTTCACCCAGTCACTGGTGTAGCACTGAAGCAGTTCGTTCAGATGAGGCCACTGCTCCAAATTTTCATCGAGCTGCTACCCAAAAAACAAATAAAGAGAAGAAATTAATGGCAAATCATTAGTATTCTAAAAACTGCTTATCAGCCCAGCTGATTTCAGCTTGTAGAGGGGTACAAGCTGAAACTAAACTAAAAATTGTAGCTTTTGAAGAACCTAAATTTGGTAAACTAATTTTTCTGAAATTATTTCACATAATTCCACAAATCAAACAGCATTTTAAGGGAAAACACAGATGAGAT